AATTTCTCCCCCTTCTGATCAACAATCACAAGAACGCCATTGTCATATTTTCCGCGAAGATGGCGACTCACGGCGCTGAAAGGAGCCAAACTTCTGTAGCAGGTCTGCATGACACATGATACAGAAGGACCATGGCACAAACAGTTCACGACTGTGCGATTTTTTACGACCTGCAAAAATTGTACAGTCAAACCTGTAACGGTCCTGGAATGTCTTAAAACAAATTCCACAGAATAGAGTATTATAAAGAAAAGATAAAAAACGCCAATTTATGCTAAAAATTAACCACTCAATGTACAAAAACTTGTTTACTAATACTACCAATATTAAATCGAGAGATAAATGAGGACTAGATTTTACGTGGATCCTAGTTTTATTTGATCGGTTCCGCGTTAACTGACCATTCAATACAGGTGGAAGACAAACAAACAGGCTGTTGGGACTCAGTAAAGGGAGACCACGGCTGCTTAATAGAGGTAAAAATAACAGTGATTAAAGGGAAAAATTTTCGAAACTTTGACAACCGACCGCTATATACAGGGTGATCACTTATTACCGTACCACTTAGTTCGACTGTATTACGATTCTTAAAAAATCCATCTACTTAAGAGGAAGAAGAAAATTTTTCAGTTTTTAACAACCTATTCATGTTAATGAGAGATTGTTTGCATCACGGAGAATTACCGTTTTAGAGTAAAATAAAATGTCGAAATTATAGTTTGCTGGGATAGAAAATCAACTCTGAGCTAAGAAAAGAAAGGAGTGCCTTTCGATTAAGCGTCTTAAAACTAAAACCAGAATAATCACAATTATGCTAGGGCCAGTACAAAAGAGATATCCCAAAAAGCCAATGAGGATTCAAAGTAAAAAGAAAACAGTTAACTGTCTGATGCGCGGGAAAACACATGTGACCAAATCGCAATTGGTTTTTGCTTTAGTTTTGGACATTGTTGACGTCATTTCTACGATCAATAAGGTTACAGATTATAGAAAACTGTGGTCAATTTTTTGACTTGTTCACCAGGTCGCACTCTGTTAGTTTTTTTTCTTTCGGTGGGAAAGCTAATCTTAAAACTCAGAATTTACTCATAGAAGCCTGTTACCCACGTGAGAAGCGCTCAGTTCTCGAAGAAAGAGACATACTGCCCACTTACTAGGGATTATGCTCCGTGCAAGCCACAACTGATAATTGGACGGCGCGGTTTAGTTTACCGAGGGCTGAAAACCTCTGTCGGACGCGAGGATAGTGCATGGAGTATGAAAACATATATTTCCATCAATCCTTTACAACATCAATTTGTGAGAAAATAGAAAAAGGCTTGAAAACACGTGAGCGTTTGTTTATTTATTATTTCAGGACTCACCGTTCTTCCGACCATATTGTTGTGAAGATTCATTTTTGCCCGAGCATCGTTTTGCTGTTCATCAGAATCCACAAAAAACTTGGCAACTTCGATACCATGAGCGATGTGATCGTAACATCCAGACCACACAAAATCTTCTCGTTTTCCTCTTAGTTCTGTTTGGTTGCAAAAGCAGTTTTTCAGGTCACCGCGGATGCAGCCTTGAGCTACCGCGTGTACAACTCCAGCCGAGGTAATCGCATACACGAAGGCAGTTTCACGGCTTGCTGCATAAAGGAAGAAAAAAATATCATAAAGAGGAACTTTTACATCATTACGGAGAGAGAAAAGCTGTCTTTTGAGGGCCTGTTGGCAGAAATTGATCAGAGAATCTTTGCCAAAATTGTCACTTATTTTATCAATTTTTTTATTTATCTATGTTTCGGTTAGGATTTTTGAAAGAAAAGAGTCTAAGCGAAAAGGTCCTTCGAAGCTTAGCAACTTCCTAATCCTACAGTAAAGAACGCGTTTTTTGTCAATATTTTCCTCTTCCGTTGTCTTAGTTAAAATTTGTGTTTGATTTTCATACAAGCCAAAGTTGATGGTGAGTCTACAGCGAGCAGATACCATGCGCAGAGGAATACAGAATCAATAGCGAACGTGCAATAGTATACAAATGCCGATAACATAACAGTTTTTAAGCCGAAAAATTTCGTCAGCCGTCGATGGTCTTGTTTAAAACTATGTCATTGCCAAAGATCACAAAATAAAACTATTTGCTCTATGATTCCCAGCAAATGAGCTCTTGAATTACTTGGATTAAATTTTGCCTTGGTTTGCAAAACGTTTACTGACAACAATTTTAACTGTTTAACTCAAAACGTTTCATGTTCGATGACTCTCCGCTTCTCCATCACATGCAAGAATTTTATTGACTCTCCCACGTACCAACTCTCTCTCAAACCAATCGCGAATGTGTTTATTTTATATACGTACCTATCTTCAAGACTTTTCCAAACACACTGAAATCCCGAGGTACCGTGGAGCAATTCCACCTCTCGTTTTTCATCTGCTGTTGGCATTCTTCAATTCCTAGCTTGGCGCCTTTCCCAATGCTTATCAAAACATTAGGGTTCTTACGGCACAGTTCAAAGTTAGGAAGACCAGCCGCATGGTTACAGATGGCCTTGGAACCAAGCTGGAACACTTGCGAAATGGACCTTTATTGAAAGAACAAGCAATTAAACAATCTGAAGATCTGTGTTTTTTACCACAACTACTACCTTGCTGAAGCTGATATTTTGTGTTTATGTCCGGGAATCTCAATCTGTACAGGATAAAGTCAGTGAAAAAAAAATCTTTTACCACCAACGTGAAGCTGTTCTCATCGGGAATAAATCCAGAAGAAGATTGAAAACCACAATCGTCACGATGCTCCTCATATTAGGCTCTCCTTTGCTTTAATTCTGTTCGTTTGCCCACCTCACACTTCTGCTCCGAATGGTTCAACGCTGCAATTTACGACGAATGAATGTCGCTAAATTTAGAAGCAACATTCGTCAACAGTGTCAAACCGCTGAGGCATATCAACGAAAACTCCCTCGCGAAGTGCTCTTGGACGCACCATCTCTTAAACTTTTATTTTAGCGGGCGTGTTGGATTTGGAAATGGTACTGTGATGATTTTGTTTCTCAGAAAATGTTAATAGTTGTAATAGCTTTTAGGATAGTGATATCGATTCTACATTAGGACTAAGTACCGAGACATTCCTTGAAAGTGCGATTTGTCATCTCTTTTTTAAAAAGATGACACTCTCTTGTTTTTTTCTTAAGTGGTGTGTTTATGTTCTTAACTATGGAAGCCGCCTTAAAATCGATTGTGTGATTGATTGTTAGTGGTGTTTTTTAAAAGGCTATTTTTACTGAGCAGACAACAATGGTTTTTGTTATGTACGAGGTAGTTTAAAACTTTCCATTTCTCGGCTTCTTTCTTTCCTCAGAAACACAGCTTCATTCAAACCAGCTGGTAACACTTAAATCTTAAGTGTTCTTAAGTGGTTGTAGAAAAATGATAGAAATGATCAGAGTGATAAGAAGTGACCAGAGGACATTGTTTTAAGCAACTGAACGATTCGGAAATTGTTCGTCCTTGAGCAAGCTTGCACTTCCAACCGAATTGCGTCCATTGTCGCTCAAGGTGTTGCATCCAGAAAAAAGCGAACATAAACGGAAATGAGCGTTGCCTTATTTTCTTAGGGGCTAAATAATCAGTAACAAAACTGAATTCCATTTGAGTGAAGTGTTTTTTAAGTTCAAGGGCTTTGAATTTTTAGAATTTCTTTGACGTCTCCGAATATCCAATATCATGCTGTCATGGTCACAACTACGGTTGCTAATGTTTCTTTGTCTCTGTAGACGACCTCTCACGCTATGTTTGGTGCTTAGATAAAGCTATTAAAAATGGTATTTCCGATCAAACTTACAAACTTACAAATTATGCTTAATTATTATAAGACTTAAAATAGTTGCGACGTTTGGCGAAATCCTTAACCACAGAATTTCTCAAAAATGTAATTTCTTTGCCCGCATGCCATGAGCTTCTGCTCAGTTAAATTTGTCAACAAAATAATTGCCGTTCTAGAAGCTTGTATATTTTGTTTTCATTCCGTGTTGTCGTCTACCTTAGAATTCCATCAAAGAAGGTTACACAAAAAGGTTAAATGATTACGACATTCAAGACGAATTATGATAATTGTTGATGCTGTCATTCCTAGTGAAATCAGCAATAACTCAAAATTCTGACACTAATTGCCTTAGCATCACTGTCTCCCAATAAATTAAAAAGCTCCGTTACCTTGAACTTGATCACGGTAGGCGTAACAGAGCAAAACGTATGCTTTCTGTGTCTACTTCTCGCTCATTTTTCAAACTCTAAGATTCAAATGTTTGAGAGCCTCTAAAGATAATGGCCGAGCAGACATGGCAAAATGATTCCAGACAAACACAGACAAATGGTGTACTCAATCTTTAAATTTTATTCACTTTCAGTTCTTCGCTATTCAAATAACAGAGCGAAGTGAAGAACCTGTTGTTTTGATTTAAGAGCCTTTTAAGTATTAAACTCAGAAAGAGCAACAAATGATTTTATTTACAGAGTATGACTTTATGGTTTCTTAAACGAACGTATACTTGACTTTGTTATTTGAAATTCCCGCTCGGATCAATTTTCATTTGAGTATTAAAAATAATCCGGGATTGCTTCGATTTTTCTGTTTTGCTTTGTTACCAGTCCAGAAACTCGCGCTTCTTTCTAAACCAATCAGACACTGATCAGATTCAAAGCTTAAACCAGTCGCGGCGTTTTCTCGCGCTTCAGGAGGTTCCTTGTTTTTACCTTTAGTTTTCATTGGCTTCTTGAGATGTTTTCCTTTGTTCTGATTGGCCCTTTTGAATAACTTGGTTTTGGTTTGACAACACACGGTCGAAATTCGCTTTGAAATGTTCTACATCGATAAATATGTTTGTTTCCTTTCATATGCGGCCACTTTCAATTAAGTTTTTTCGTTTTCTCATTCTACTGAAAGTTTTCTTCTGTCTAAACAAGTTTTATAGCGTTGCAAAAATGAACTATGGCGTTTTGGTTTGACTCAGCTTAATTTAAACACCTTAGTGTTAAGGTACATTATTGCATCAGTCTTTCCTTATAGGAAGCTAATTGCGCGAGATGCTTTTCTCAAAGTTCGTTTGTTCGGGTGGTTTACACAAGTGCATGTCAACGATTCTTCTGCAAGTTTTGCAGTTAACTTGGCAACACCACTGAACTGTACAATCGCATTTGTATTCCTCTACGACTTGAATCGTGTTGTACCCACGCCCGCAACACAGAACATCACAGCTCCCATAATCCTCTGGCACGTTCTGGTTACAAATTCTTCCCGTGGTGCCAAGTGAGCCGGTGCCTGGGTTGCGAACACAATAATCCGGGAACTTCTCCAAAAACACGAGATCGTCTCGTGATGGTTTTAGTTGAGAGTCATCTCTTGCCGATAGGAGTTCGTTGCTCTTTTGATTAACAGTTACCATAAACGCTTTTTGATGTTTTCGTTTGAGAAAGTTGCCCACCACGCTAAACGGAGCCATCGTTCTCCAGCATGTCCTGTATTCACAGGAGTCGGAAATGCCGTGACATTTGCACTTTATTACCATGTGGCGTTTTACAGCCTGTAAGAAACAAGATTGATATCAAAAGTCCATAAAGATAAGGATTTGCGGACCAGTCATTATTTCATTATTTGAGTCGAAATTCGACTCAAAACTTCGCGGTCGCGAATCAGCTGAATGCGGAAACCAAACGACTGTCTACACTGGACAATAAACTGACGTTAAAGACGTTAAATCTCAACCAATCAAATGCAAGGCTACACTAATCATGACCTGGTCAGTTGCGTTTTCTTAAAGTTACCGCCAGCGCAGCACTTGAACACTTCATTAACAACAGGAAACGTTCATATCAAAATGTAAATACCAATGAAGTCAGAATAAAGTTAAGGATGAAACCTGGTGAAGCTACGAATTTTAAGGGAAACTATTTAAAAACAGCACACTTGAACAGTTTAACTTACCCTTCGCCCGACCAAATTGTTGTGCAAATTCATCATTGCCTTCGCATCTGTCTCTTTTTCGAAAGAGTCCACAAACAGCTTTGCAGTCCTTAGACCGTAAGCAATGTTGTCACTGCATCCTCCCCAATTGAATTCCTCGTTACTTCTACCGTCAGTTTTCTTCTCGCAAGAACAATTTCTCAGTTCGCCGCGACGACATGCTCGAGTTACTTGATGCACAACTGCGGCTGAAGTTATCGCGTGGACAAAAGCTTTCTCTCGACTTGCTGTCAAGAGCAATGATAAACTGCCATTAAAAGTGGGAATTAATTTTCGATATTGTCGGTCGATGTCAGATAAACAAGAAAATACTTTTATCAATTGAGACTGGATGTAATTCTAAGAGATTTAAGGAATTATATGTAAGGTTTACCCTATAGGAGGAAGCCCGTGATCTGTTTACATTGAGATGCCAGCAAACAACAGAAAGATCTTGACACTCTATCGTGATAATCGTGTTTGATTTTAAAGTACATTGCACTTAAGTCGTTAACTCTACTATTCTATACTGTTAATACCACTATCCTCGTTAAGACCAATTAAATGAACACACATAAACCGTTTCAAGAAATTAGTTCACTAACCTTTTTGCATGACCTTTCCGAAAACGCTGGTGTCCTGTTCTACAGTAGAACAATTCCATCTTTCGTTCTCCATCTGTTCCTGGCATTCTTCTATACCAAGCTTTGCACCTTTCCCGATGTTAATTATCACATCAGGATTCTCGCGGCATAGCTTCTGATGATAACTGAGCAAATACGAGCCTGACATGTCTAGATTACACATGATTTTCGCGCCCAAAGAGAACACTCGAGACATAAACCTATAAAAAGCAAACAAACGCGTTAGTTCGCGGCCTCGGCGGTACGTTATCTGATCTGAACAGTGAAACAGTTGAATGACTTCATTGCCGTTTGCACTTAAGTGCAAAACAATCCGATTCATTTCAACTTCTTGCCGACTAGACGGTTGTTCTAAAAGAAAACCCACCACCAATGAGATGTCGTAAGAACTGGAAATGAAAGAAGAGCAAAAGTGAAAAGACAAGCCCTTGGTACTGATGTCATCTTCAATGTATCTCGAGCCTTCCTGCGAGAAACGAAAAAAAATGTGTCGGACTCTGCGTGTGGTCAATTAATTGAACATCAAAAATAACTGTCGCCACTATAACGACCATAATATATGTGTCGCGTCAATTCGTTCAGGCATAACCTACGGCTTCTAGAAGACACTGACTCAATGCCCATTATGCCCAGTGGCATGAAGGGCGGAAACGAGGGTTTGCAAATGCTAGTTTGCAGAACAGGCATGTCATTCTTTGCATATTTCAGAAGCCCCTCTAGGCAATCGCGAGGCAAGTGCAAATGGTTAATCGCGCGCAAGAGGGGGAGCACGCTACCCGCATTTGCCTAAAAATGCAAGCTATCCATCGCTTCCTGTCTTTGATCAGCGGTTTAATTGAGATTTTCCTGTTTTGTAAGCCGATCTTTTTCTGTCTCTTTAATACGCCGCCATTTATTTTTCGCGCCTCGATAATGTTGAGAGATTTTATTTCAGACTGTAAGATGAAAATACAACATTAATTATAACAAGAACGATTTACCTAATGAAGCTATCAATCCGTAACATTTGAAGCTGAAAGAATAGTTCTCGAAATTCCATTTACAGGTTTAATTAATTTGTCAAAGGTACATTCAAATCAGTTGACGAATCTTTCCTTTACGAAAGATAGCTTCGAATTGTCGTTTATGGCAAAAAAGCGGTCTAAAGTACCTGCAATATACCGAATATTTGGAGAATAATTTTGTCTGGGTTAAAGAGCGGTGGTATCAACTCATTTAAACAAAATAAATATTGAAAAAAAGCATCAGCTGGTCGTCTTATTTCTCAACAATATTGTCTTAACATGTCGAAAACGTGAAAAAGCTGTACCACGCTTCCTTATAAACTCACGATTTATTCGCTTGATTCAACAATTTTGCTATTACGCTTCGGTTGACTCCCACTCGCAATTCTCGGCTTCTTAGAAGGAAAAATACTTACCGTCCCGTAGTAAGCACGTGGAACAGTGCCATATATGGGACGACAAACACGTGCTGCATACAGGTTTGCTCAGTTATGTATAAATAAACGAAATGTCTCATAAATGTCGATCAAATTGAGAATAATTAATGTATCGTACAGTTTCCAACAAACAGCAACTATCATATGGCAAGGTTGGCTTGAGGTAAAGGCGAACGTTCTGATTGGTTCTTACTCAGTCGGAATCCTACCATACGACCACTTCCACGGAAACGGTCGTAAGCCGTGTGTTTCCGGTGAGTTTGTTAGGAGTCCTATATTATAATCCAATTAATAACCTTGCTTGCTCGTGCCACATCCCCGGTCCTCAGGCCAGAATTCCCTAGTACGGCCCTCGCGCTTGGTTGATAAAAAGTTAATATTTTTTCTCAGAGAGCACGGTGACGAACCCTGCAATGTGATTGGTTCTTAGCGCGGTCCGTATTTTCCTATCTCTGCCCACGGTACATTCCTACCATCATCGCCAATTTTCGTCATTATATCTCGTTTTTCCGGCTGGGCAGTATTTTTAAGCAAAGACGTCGGTCGCTACCTCAAACCGATGAATAACTTATTAATCCTCTCTTTTCTCTCTCTATCAAATCACTTTGGTTTAAAGAAAAAGATTAGATGTTTGATCAAAAGAATTGAGTATATTGTTGTTTATTCGATCAGAACTGTAGCACTGAGTGGTTGGGTGATGAGAAGATACAGATAATAAAAAATTATATAAAGGACTAGTAAAAACTCCGTGTTGCCTTCTGCTAAGCTAAGCGCATTCTACAATTATTTTCCTCCTGTTGGCGCGCCAACATGTTCACATCAACTTGATGAAATTATTTAATAAGTTTGGTTAGCTTTCTTTCAACGCCTTTGATCCTGTCGTCTACCAAATATTTATTTCTTATAACTGAATGCAATGGTAAGAAAGTGTTCTGTGTGATAACAGCTAGCCTGACTGTTTCACAATATTTTGATTTCACTCACATTGTAGTAAAATATCTCCCAAAGGTTTTTTGCTCATCACTACCAGTTGTTTAATTTACGCATGAACACCCTTTTTGAGCACCTCCTGTCGAGATTTGGTGATGGTTTAAATAGAAAATACTTACACTTACGAGCTGAGTTTGTGTCTCTTGGTCATTACGCAAATACATTCACCAGGCCGCCTTTCTAAGTCGTGTTTCGAGTTCGAATATTTATCTGATCAAACCTCATCACCGAATCTTGAAAATAATCAACGTTCGGTCCCAAAGAATAAACACTAAATGTCCTTGAAGGCTTGATTGATCCCACAATACTTTGAAAAGCGGAGTGTTTTCTCCATTATTAAATGCCACTCTAACGTTTTCTTCCAACTTGGCCCGAGGAACCCGGCCGTTATGCGAGGCGAGTGTTTAAGGAGCGTGGTGTCTATAGGCGGACTGCCGTTTTTTTCTGTTAATTTTTTAGGTCAATATGTCCTATTTACCACCTATTTTGTTTGTGCCACAATAGTATTTTAAGGATTCCCCTCATAAGCAGTCAATTTTCTGTAGTGTCCCCAGCTATAATCGTTTGGCTACGACTGATCCCTCTCTGTTCACGCCCCAAAACAAATGC